TTTAATTATGATTTACATTTGACAATCTTACCTTAGATCAATATCACCTCACATCGTGGAATTTTGAAACTCCTGAATCATCATGCTTGATTGCACGAGCAACTTGTCCAGTTTAATAAATCTGATGATATACCATTAAAATATTTGTGCAGAATATAATAAATATCAAAGAGGTTCATATTCGAGCCGAATATGTTTATGTACATAATTTTACTTCCACATTTTTTTACAGGGATATAAGGCCAGTGTTTGTACAGCATGCAATAAATGTGTGCATTAACATTGTCAAAACGGTTCTCATTAGAATCGAATCATTTCATTTTGCATAGTGCCAACTACATTTGTAAGATTCACATCTCTTTGATTTCAAATCCTGCAATGTTAACACTGTGTTGAACAAACCGTTATTAACTCCTAAATACCATGCAACTATTTATGTTTCCAATTATGATTCAGTAATCCATGGTCATTCATGATGCATGGTTGATTTTTATATATATATATACATATATATATGTACAAGTAACCGAGATCATTGAAAATAATATTTTGTATTTTCCCATAATTTCTCCAGATTTTCAATGACTTGTTTGCGACATTCATATCAAGCACATCCCCGAACGATAAAACGAATAATGTTACAAATGATCTTTCTTATATTTGCTATCACTCTGTCACATGATCAATTTAATAACTACATATATTTTAGTTGCTGATTATTTGGTCATTAACATTTATTAACATCAGCCTTACTGCATGCAATGCATGATGTAGGAAGGACCGGAAGTTGCAGAAAGTATTCTCCGACGTGACACGCCGCGGGCTGCGGCCACGTACGTGCCCTTGGCGAATCTTGATAAACAGGTCGAACTATTTCTCAATTCCTTTGATAAGTGATGTGTATAATGAAGCAGTTAATTTTATTTAATAATTGTTCTAATGCTTTATCCCATTAATACATACATGCACTACAGTCCAATGCAATAAAGAAAAAATAAGAAATACTCTTGTATATATTTTCTGCATCAGTGTATTATTTCATATTTTGCTCTCTTGTATTCCATTGTTAAGGACTCCAAAATCTTATTATAGAGTGCTCTAGTGTGGACTGGTCTTGCTGAATCATGGAGAGCATACATCCAAACTTTAGAGGTACCTCCAGTAATGCTTACACAGGAGGAGTTTTTGAGGGAAGTGAGAAAAATTAATCCATTAGTTTGTTTAGAACATTGTCGGCATCTTGGATTGCAATTACAGGTACTATATATTGTAGAAACTCATGTTTTAAGTTTTAATATATTAAATTTTTTATATACTAATTATTAGTCTCAATTTTTAGAATTTAGGGGAATGTATGCTCCTTCCTGGGAATTTAGTAGTTCTGAGTCCAGAATGGTTATGGCAAGATGTAATAAATTGGCAACTAAGTCCAGATCAAAAAGGACGTCTGGGAGGACGTACTACAGGAGTGTATGCTTTGGAAGATTTTCAGGCTCGTTGTCCGTGTCCCGCAAGTCAAGCTTTGCAAGCATTACAAGCAGTAAATTTATGTGTTCCAGTAAGTTTTATAGGAGTAACTGGTTATACATTTAGACTATTCTACACATAGTTTTTCTGTAATAGTGTGAAGTTGATGAAGACGAAGTAGAGTATGAAATACCCTGCTTAAACCTTGTTGAGCGCTTACCAGGATTATGGGAACCATGGAAACCATGTTCTAATATTCTACCTCACACGGGTCTTCGTCTTGCTCCGTCTGAGGCACCATTGTATCATTTAATTGCAGTATTTCCACATTTACAAGTATGTATTACTGAGAAGCGAGATTCAGGTTTATAATATCTTTCTTTATTGAGTACAGCTGATAATGATATATTATTATGCAGGCACAACTAAGGAAAATTACACAATCGTGGGATCCATCGAATTCAGATTTATATCAGTGGTGGCGAGGATCAAAATTGTGTATAGGACCTTGTGAAAGTATCATAACGTTTGAAGAGGAAGATCAAAGTTGTATGGAAATACGAGTACGTGGACCACGAAGTACTAGTGCTCAATGTTTTGCGCTTCTAAGCATTATTCTCGATGCCATCGATACAACAATTGAGTTTGTTGCTCCAGGAATGTTACTTGAAAGACACTGGCTGAGTCCTAGTCAACTTCGTGAATATGATGAAGTTAGTTACTATATTGAATAATAGTTGGTTACTTATTGAATAATAATGTTAAATGTTTTCTATAAAACTCTATATCTGTTTTTAGATTATACATTCTTGGGAACCAGCACCTGTTATATCATCCTTAATAGACAAAGGTCTTGAAGAAGCAGTCCTTAAAAATCCTTTAAATGGTCAAGAAGAAACAGTATGGGAAATAGTAGGTTGTGGTTTACCTTTAATGGAAAACTGTCTTCCTGGACCAAAACAACCCATAAAGCATATAAAACCTGCTATACAAAGAAGGTTAGCACAGATGCTTGATCCTCCCGATCGTCATGGAAGAGATTGGTGTTTACTTGCAGTAAGACTAGGTTTGGGGGATCGAGTCGCACAATTGGATAGCACTGTGGACAGTCCAACATTAAGGTTAATATGTATAAACTTTAATAAAGTGTAAGTTTATTTTGAAATGACAAATTTGAGCGTTATTTTCAAATTATTTCTCTGTCCACAGGTTGCTGAATACTGCAGGCGCCGATTGTTCCGTGGGTTCTCTGATACAACAGTTACGAGCTCTTGATAGAGAAGATGCTGTGCATCTTTTGCTTTCTTTTACACCAACGTATATATTGTCAACGGCTATCGATTCTGAAACGGGATCTAATCTTTCTAGATGACAATGCTGCGTTTATCCATGGTGCATTAATACTTTCTAAACGATAAATTTCCAATGGAAATTCCACGTCGTGGATTTAATAGACTTACAACGTCACCGCTTCCGCCCAACATAAATTTTGCATTGTTCTTTAAATCTAAGTATGTACATTAACAGTACATTGTATGTGTACTTCTTTAGAGGCATGTGGAAATGCACACGCACCAATATGTACTTTTATATAAACTTATTAACAAGCACTTCATGCGGCACAAAATTCTTTTATATATATACATATATACATATACACACTTACACGTGCATATGATGATAAAAATTGCATCGATTTGTGTATCTTGTTTTACAAGCTCTTATAGTATAAGTACATTTTAATTTAAGTATCCTTGTTAGCATAAAAGAATATTTATAATTCCATGTTTTCGTTGGGTTTGAAAAAATATGTACTTAAGAGAATGTATATTTAAACACAGGTTGAATTTTTTATTAGTTTGCGTTTTTTTCCTAATTGTGAACTATTTGTAAGTATTTCTATTGTGATACTATATTGTATGATTAGCTAGAACAAATTTCTTATATGAATTTCTATTAGATGAATAATTCTATATAATGTATATGCACATGCGTGGCTCACAAAATAATGCATTTACACACTATACAACACGATACTATTCGTATTTGATACTAATATTGTTTTGAAGGCTTTTCTTGATACGCATATATATACTATATCTTGCCAAAACCTCAGTGTCAATACGCATTGCTTTTTGACTTTTACGGTATTTAGAAACTATTTGCGCGGAGAGCGAGTGAAAACAGTTCGCACAATTCTTTGTTTTTTCGAGTACAACTATTGATGAAACTCTATTTCTAAATGGGTATTTTTTACTAAATCAATATTTCTAACGTACTGATTATGTGCCATAAGCAACGTTTGCTCATCATATCTATTGAAGTGTTACAAATGCTTCTCTAAGTCCTCTAAATTGATCTTTTTGTGTAAGTAAGGTATTCATTAACAAGCTGAGACTTGAGAGTATGGCCAATCATTTGATCAAAACAGTTTATTATGGAATAGATATTTTAACTATTATACTATTGTTCATGTTTTGTTGGCACAAGAATATTAAACGCACTGATCGTGTGCAATGCGTAAGAGTATATATCATAAAAGTAAGCGATATTTGTTGTTCACAGAATACCTTCTTTGAACATATCTACTCTGTCTTAATTTGATTCACTGGATAATACTTAAATATAGCGTGATAAGTAGCTTTAAATTCTTACTTTGTATAACAAGTATTTAGTATACGTTTTATCAATGAGAAGATCTTTACTTGTACTTAAAGATGAATACGACGAAAATAGTGTTTTTAATCATAAACTGTCTTTATAATAATTAATTATAATTCTGTTTTCGTATAATGTATTTAATACATTTCTGTTGCTTTTGTGTTTTACATGTTTCCTGTAAATTAAGGATGTAATATCTCTAGTACCCACGCAATTAATATAGACTTGGCTCATGTGGACGATAATATAGAGTTGTCCTTTGAGATTTGTATTTCAAAGCTTGCGTTCTTCACGCATTGTGTTCATTTTATATTTAACTCGTCACTGTCTAAGATAATGAGTTTTAAATATCGTGTGTTTCCCCAAAAAGAATTGTTTTTTATATTGTATGCACAGAAGTATGAAAATGTTGGCTTCTAAGATCTATAGATTGATCAGTATTGTTGATCAATTAAAGGTCAGCATTGTAAATTCTAATGCGCTTAAGTATTTGTGTTTTACAGCTTTTACTTAGGACTATACAAAATTGTTAAGATAAAATTCGTGATACCAGAAATACACGCGAAAAGGACATTTTTCAGAAGAAAATATTGTAAGACTATTAATTGTTGCTATTTATAACAAAAGTGTAAAAATAGAAAAATAGACTTCCTGATTTTGTTATGATTAATAATATTTACATTTTTCTAGTTTGTATAATGATGAGAACTTCAATATTAGATGAGGTTTCTCTTTTTTAATTAGTTTGTATATTCGTTTAATAATTTCTAATCATATGCAGATTATACAAGCACACATTTCTAATATATAATACATATTAAAAAATTGTATTGAAACTACAATCAAAATCAATTTGATCGTGTTAGTAGAATGTTCCTGAATATCAAGAATATGATCTCTAAGGAACATTATTGTAATATAGGGTAGTTCTGTACATTTCTACAATGTACTGCAGATTACATTAAACAAAAAAATGATGCTTTGGAATTAAACATTGTAAAATATTGAACGATTGTGTCAATTTTGTTCGTTTTCACTTTTACAAAGTCGTTCACTTTATACATAAGAAAAATTAAGAAAAACTACTTAAAGAAATGTATAACTTCTTTTATATAACAGATGGTGTAAATAAAACCTTATTTGTAAGTGAAATTTCATCACCAGAAACTCATTAAATGTGATATATACACAATACTATATTATACTTATACCGAGAAGTTTAAGTAAGAATCTTGCAGTTCCCATGATTCTACATTTAGAAAAAATGGATTACAATTAATTCTAATTTAACAACGTAAAATGTTAATATCACTCCAATTATTAATTCAGTTTGATTTTTTAATTTATCAATTTTTATTAAAACTTACGGCATTACCGTAACGCCCGCGTTTACGGCACTCCTCACTTCGTGTCGATCCACGGATCGATCGGTAACCGTCCACGCGGCGGGAAAATTCAAACATTCGACGGTGGACGCGTCTTTGGAACACAAAATCGCCGAGATACGATGAAAGAAACGGACGGTAGGATTTTCGTTTTCTCGTGGTATTTACCGTGGAGAATTGGTTACGTGGCCGGTAGGAAACAAGGAACGGAATTCTTTCGATCCGAGAATAGCATAAGGGAGGCGGAGATTGCGTTTCGTCGGTAGTCAGCGAGGAATCGACCAGTGAAGAGCCGGGATAAAATCGGGACGACGGCCAACAAGGCGACAAGCAATTATAGAATTGGATTGGATCGAGGCGTTCGAGGAGGCTCGCGACGCCGGTTTCGTTTTATTTTAGCTTAGCTTTCGAAGGCATCCGGTTGTGCATTCTCATCGCGGATCATCGCGACGATTGCAGTGAGTGTTGTCCCCCTTTTAAGCCTGAATTGCCTTTTTTTTTGCTCTTCTCGCACCGTGTTTGTTATTAAATAAATGTTGCCCATTCGCGTCTGAGCCAGCAACGAGACGCTCGTAAGGTGCGTCGCTCGATATCGAACAAGAAAAAGAGGGTAAAGTGAGTGTTTCGGTGTTCGAACTCTGACATGATTCCTGTCTTACATAAAACGACAAGTTCCACATTTTAAAACACGCTTCTTTTAAAGGAAAAGAAAATATTAAATGATCCGATTACCACTCCCGCTTTTTTGATCGTTTACTCGCAGTAGATACGGCACGATCGTGGTCAGACTAGCCCAGAGCGTCGGTGGGTTGTTGCCTTTTCGACGGAGTGTAGGTAAATCTATGTTAGCGAGATTAGTTGTAATTTTTCACCTGTTACGCGAGTGTATTAATATTGTGTTTGCGGTAAAGTTATTCTTTAATCAGTGTCAAACACGAATAATAGGGTAATTTCGATTCAGATAACACGTTGATTATTTTTCTTCGTTTTCTTAAGGGAGAGGATAAAAAAGATTTTTATCGATCATTCGTAGTATCATGTCAATAGACATCTTCCTTTCGGTATAACATTCTAGTCGATAGCTTATATTATTAATGTGATCGCGACATTCGGTTTGGGCCACTTGTCTAGGAGGTAGCAATAATCTGTTGCAGTTGAACTGTGTTAAGGGTCAACAGAACGTTGAGCAAGATCTTTCGTTTTGGATAGCGAATTTGCTATGTTGTTAATAGACTTTATGCATTGTTCAGGATCGACGGGTCGACGAACAGTTGATAAAAAGGGAGCGCAACACCAACCGTCATCATGGAGGCGATAAAGAAGAAAATTGCGGCGTTGAAGATGGAGATGGACGCCGCGAATGAAAAGGTCGAGACGAACGAGACCAAAGCTAAATTGGAGAATCTACGCGCGGATAAGCTGAACGACGACGTGAGGGATCTGCAAAAAAAACTGGCTCAGCTCGAGCGGGACTATGAAGTTGCTAAGGCTAATTTGGAGCAGTCTACATCCGATTTGGAACAATGCGAGAAATCGTGGTCTAGGGTGTGTAAACGCTTTCAACTGATCTCAAGTTCCAACTATTGAGCTGCTACGAAATTTCTTGTGTTAAAAGAACCAACGTGATCAACTAATTACTGTAATTAATGGTTTACGCGGTTAGGCGGAGCAAGATCGTACTGTCCTGACGAAAAAGGTACAAGAAATTGAAGCAACGCTCACGAAGAAGGAAGAACTGCGTCTTACTGCTCAGACGAAACTGGGACGCGCGTCAGAACTTGCTGACGATGCACGAAGGTTCTTAATCATAATAGTTTCTCTCTTACTTTCGGAACTCATTTCGTTTGTGACAGAACATGGCAATAAAAATTATATTCCTTCGTTTCGTACGTTTCTACCAGTCGATGGTAAATAAAGAACATTTAACCAATTTGTTGTAGAAACACTGTTTCTCACGTTCGAAATCACACATATCAATGAACTCTTCATTACTAATGACTAATTTAGTAATTACAACCAAGTATCAGGTATTGTTAACATTCCTTTCGTTCGCAGAATGTGCAAAGTATTGGAAGACAGAAGTCGGCTCGACGAGGAACGTATGGAGAAACTGATGCAGGAACTAAAGGATGCTAGGTTGATCGCCGAAGATGCAGATTCCAAGTCCGACGAGATCTCGAAGAAATTGCAGTTCGTTGAAGAGGAACTGGAGGGAGCTGAAGAAAGAGTGAAGAGCAGCGAAGCGTTTGTATAATTTCGTTACACTAATTTTTATGATTATTCATCACATAAGTTATATATACGTGTCGATACGTCGATAGGAAAATCGTAGAACGCGAGGACGAGCTGTTCATCGTACAAAACATCGTTAAATCCTTAGAAGTATCCGAGGAGAAGGTACTTACCATATATTTAAAATATCTTTGAAATGAATGTTAATAGTAGCATTAATTCCAAATTCTGATCACCTAGGCCAATCAACGAGTAGAGGACTTCAAGGTACAACTGAAAGAGCTGAAGAAGAAGTTGAGGGGAGCCGAGAAACGTGCCATTCTCGCTGAGAGGACAGTGAAGAATCTGTTGAAGGAAGTGGATAGGAAAGAAGGTAAATTAATGAATCGATCAATAGTTTCGTTTACTCGGAAACTGTATACGTTCAAACATAACGTTTCGGCGGTGATGATCATTTTTCAGATGAACTTAGAGAAGAAAAGGAAAAGTACAAGGCGGTCTGCGACGACATGGACGCCACGTTCGCGGAAATGACCGGATATTAAGGATCCGGAACGGATGGAGTTTCACTTATTTTGTTATTCTGTGCTTTTTCCGCTTGTTTGCTACATTTAACATGGCCGCCATGCTTCGGACTTCGGTCGACTGCCTACAGCTATGCCGACTTGACACGTTCTAGCGTATCGCGGATGATTCAGGAGCTTAATGATTCATTTGCTACGAGGATTACATAATTAACAGGCGAATAAATGATCGTACAACGCTAGTTTCTTAATACGAAGACGAAGTAGCTTACGCTGAACCGCTTTGCTTCGCCTAACGCCTTGATAATGCTTAACTGGTTGCTGCTAATCGGACCTGTCTCAGAAACGATAGTATTCCTTGTTTTTCTTTCTTTTTTTTTTGGATAGAATTAACGATAGATCATGTATTTTTCTTTCAGACATTTCGAAAGGGATATCGCGATACTTGAAAACAAGCACGACTCTGTGCCCCCTTTTTATCATTGTATAACGAATCCGAATTTTCAATAAACGGTATTTAAAAAGAACGTATCCACTTGTTTTATTAATCATTTTTACCTTCTGAATATGCTGCAAGAATACTGAACATAGGAAAGTAAATATCCTATAACTTCGTTAGTTTTTATTTATGAATTCAATATAAGCTTCGTAATCGATGGCTCTCAAGAAATGGGTATAAATTTTCCAGAATATTAAAGTAAAACATGGAGATCAATAAAATATTTTTATTGTGTTGTACATACATTGTAATATACGATACATGTAATCGGTGTTACTGAAATTGTAACTATTGAAATAATACTAAAATAATACTTAGAATAATACGTTTATTCCTGGTTAAAAAAACTGTGATTTTGTATTTGTTAACGTGGCCGCGTGTGAATCGGCCAATCGGAAGAATATAAACGTCCAGAGAAGTCGAGGAATTCGTTTGCGTCTAACTAAAGAAGCGGGCACTTAGGTTCTTTTGCATTTCTTTGTGTCTATAAAGCATTGTCCTCGCCGGTCACCGAGTGCAGTAACCCGCGAGCTTTGCTTTGAAAGACCGTAGGACACAGTCTCCAGGAAATTGATTTTTCAAACGCCAGTACGTACAACCGTAATTTTCCCACAAGCAATGACCAAACTGGAGTCTTATGAAAGTGTTTCATGAGTGTTTGAATCTTAATGATACTCTCGGAAGTGAATTATCGAGCCTAAAGTGTCTTAGAAATTGAACGAAGTTACTCTTGCTAATGTGTTGTTATTTCGTAATAAAGAATCTTTATACAGTTTATCATAAAAATGCTGTTTGACGTATGTTAAATACTTTTATAAGAATTTATTACTTCATCAGTAATTCTATGTAGACTAAAAATATTTTGTTTCTGGCATTGAAGTTAAAATGGGTTTATATTTTCCATTGAGATTTCTTTAATTTGTACAGAAGGTAACAAAATTTCATCGTTTCAAGAATAATATCTTTTCATCGCAAAATATAGAATAATATCTTTTCATCAACTAGTGTTAATTAAATAAATCAGCTGTTCTTCTCTTAATAATAGTAATCGTACCATTAATAATATTATTAACAGAATTAGTTGCATTCAGACACTTTTTAATAAGAAAAAGTGATTACGGAGTAATGATGCATTGATTAAATTTAAAAATTTTCTTCACCTAGACACAGTTTCTCATTGAGAACCGGTGATTAATCGGCGAAATCATGAACGCGATTAAGAAACGCCTACAAACTCTAAAGATTGAGAAGGATTTGGCGATGGATAAGGCCGATATGTGCGATCAACAGGCAAAAGAGGCAAATCGACGGGAAGAGAAGCTGAAAGACGAGGTTCGGGAATTAGCAAAGAAGTTAATACAAATGGAACGTGATTTGGAACTAAGCAAGGCCCAGTTGGAAAAGTCAAATAGAGATCTCGAACAGAAAGAAAGAGTTTATATCGTGGTCAGTATATAATAACAGCATTTTGTTAGGGTTTCACAATCAGAACATTTCATTATGAAAACTCTTTTGGATTTGGAGAATAGACTCAGTCGGAATTAGCAGTTTTAAACAGAAAGATGCAGCAGTGTATACATAATTTGGAGAAATCGGAGGAACGCCGTTTAACGGCGCAAACAAAGTTGGCGCAGGCAATGGAAACTGCTGAAGATGCGAAACGGTTAGTTGCATGAATTTTCTCATTGTTTCATAATGTTGTAGATGGGCTATCATTTTCGAAACATAAAATTTACCAGGCAATAAGGACATCTAGTCTTTTCAAATTAGCTAATCGATTTCACATTTGTCTTCTCATTTTCAGCACCCTATGTATATTTATTTTAATTTCATTCTGTTTCTTATTTTAAGCAGTTAATCCATTTAGAAATTGAACGTTAATCAGTTATACTGTTAATGATTAATGATCGTTCTATTTTTATCTTAAATAGAGTGTCTGTAAATATATGCAGAATCATTAATAGATTTATGGTGTTATTAATAGATGAAAGTAAAAATGGTTTCTTCTAGTATCTGTAAAGTATTAGAGAACAGAAGCAAACAGGATGAAGATAGGATGGACCAGTTGATGGCGCAACTGAAAGAAGCGAGACTGATCGCTGAGGATGCTGACACAAAATCGGATGAAATTTCTAGAAAATTGGTATTCGTAGAGGATGAACTGGAAGCTGCCGAAGAAAGAGTGAAGTCAAGCGAGGCGTAAGCTCACAAACTTGTTGCGACGAATCAGTATAATATTCTAATCCTTTTGGTATTATTTGTAGGAAAATTATGGAACGGGAAGATGAACTGTTTATTGTTGGTAACATATTAAAATCTCTAGAAGTATCCGAAGAAAAGGTAATTGTTGCCATAAGAATCCAAACTAGTTTTAGAATATTATTTTATAAGATGTTTGGTTATTCATAGGCTAATCAAAGGGTGGAAGAGTTCAAATTGCAATTGAAGGAATTGAAAGCGAAATTAAAAACTGCTGAGAAGAGGGCCATCATCGCAGAGAAAATGGTAAAAGTATTTTCAAAGGAACTAGATGCGAGAGAAGGTAAATACTGAGATTATTTTTCGTTTCTTCCTTCCTAATCTGTTCATTTAAAATTTACGACTATTGCTTTCCAGACTTTCTATTCAGAGAAAAGGAAAAATACAAATACATCTGCGATGATATGGACTCTACATTCTCTGAACTCACCGGATACTAGTTAAATTACTGTCATTCTCAAATATTACAATTTTCAACCTCAGTGTGCATTTATTATGTGTCCTTTTTATTAAAAATTAAGTTTAAACTACTACATAGTCTTTCATTTAAATTTTACCACCAATCATACGGCTCGAACTTATTCTTTAAAGTGTTCGGAACAGAAACTTCACGGTTAATTTAATAAACTTATACACCCTTTGGTCTGTTCCAGAAAAATTAATTTCAAGATAAATCAAGAATGATAAGGTTCATTAAAGTTTGCCAGATTCAATCAGTTAAGTAAAAAAGAGTTTCTTAAATTCGATCCCATAATCGCTCGCCATATTGAAGGGTTGAAATGAAACACCGTCGGAGTCTGAATTGTTTTATAATACTTTACAGGATATCAATTTATTTTATCGATTCTACGATCGACACAATGCTTCGAAACGCCATACCATCGACTAGATACAGTTTCGGCTGTGGCCACGTTTTTTTTTTGGTCTCGCGGTCTTCGCGAAACAGGGAAGAAAATGGCGGCTTCCCGGCGTATTTGATCGCACGTGGCCACGCCACACTTCGAGTTTGGACTCGCAGGCACACACTATCGCATTCGCACCATGATTCTTTTTCTCGTTCTCCCTTATATCTTTTGTTTTTACAACGATGCTAATAGTAGTTACAGTAATAATTGTTCGTTTGATTTGCTCATTGTCCACGCTTTCATTCCATCGCAAACGCGGACAAACCAGTGACGTAACTTCGAATGCGTCGATCAAGGGAAAATAATCAAATCACACAGATCCATGGTGATTTCTGCAAACGAATGAGTCGGATAATAATTGATATGGGCCAAATCTTGGTTTTCATTTCGCTGAAACGTTGCTTTTCAGAATCATTTAGGTTTTGAAGTTCATCGAAACGTTATCTTTGGAGATTCTGTATCTGTTCGCTTCTTAGATCCTCGTGTCACGATCGATTACACCCACAAGTCAATTCCGCGGACCTTTAAATGTATTTCGAGGCGTTGCAAGTTACATCACTGTTTTAATTAAAACACACCGTTCGTAGCATCGTGGGGCTCGATTGTTTGACCTAACGATTAACGAAGGGAAAATTAGTAACGTTCGTTGATGGTGAGTTGATTGACCGAGGCGATGAACGCTTCCAATTGGGTTGTCTCTTGTGAAATGTGTCAATTAGTTTGCATGAAATTTGCTAACCACATGTCATTAATGCTCTATTATTCATATCAATTTGAATTTTTGCATATGTATGTAGGTAGGTATGTATATTGCAGCTCAACAGTTTGGAGCATTTTATAATTTGATCTGTCATATATAGACCCTTGAATAAATGAATTTTTCATTAAAAATATTCGTTATAGTAATGAAACGGTATTTAATTGTAGACAAATGTAAAAGTTCGAATTGTAGTGGATTTACTTTCGAGAGAAATAATGTAATGTGGCAGTAAAAATGTGAGCCGCGGTAGTTGTTCCGAAATGTTGAACGGCAGTTTAATATATACGAAAAGCAGCTTCATGAAGTACCTATCCAATGTAAATGAAAATTAAACCGTAAATAAACAAATTTATAAATTCATTTAATTCGTAGGGTACGTAAGTCTTTAGTTGCGAATTATTTAGATGATTCTATAAAAAGATGATTCAGCAAAGTATTTTGAATGACACAGAAGATAGAAGACGGTGAAAATACTAAAAATGAATTACTTAAAAGCGAAGCAAGCGTTCGTCGCCTTGGAAAAATGAATTTTCACCGGGTAGAATGCTCAAAGTGATAGTTTTAAGAGTCAAAATATTCCCGGAAGTAAAACAAACATATGGATACCGAAAGAACTCGTAAAATGTACGCAGTTGCCTTACGTCGGAGGTTAGCCGGCCAGTGACATAAGAAAAAATGTACAAAAATTTGTTATCGTTCGATAAACAATACCCGCTTCACGCACAGGGCCTAACAAATTAATCGAACTCTACGAGTTTGATTGACGTGCTTCTCGTATATACACTCATGTATGTATCGTAATGTATGCGCATATATGCGCGTTAAATACATATATATATTTATATAAATTTATATATACGTATACCTACGCCCTCGTCTTCGCAGTGTCGCGCACATATCCGGAACTTAGCTGTCATTCAAGTATACATTGTATTTCGAAAGTTTAGGGTTCAAGTATTCGACCAAAATATGAAAATTATTTTGTACCTCACTGGAAACGAAATGCCTGTGATTATTAGAAAAGACGATTTCAATTTTTACAAGTGCTCAATTTTCAAATACTTTTGCTTAAAGTTTCAAATAACGAATACCGATCGTTGGTTACAATCTTCCTACATTTGTATTTGGAAGAAAAGATTATTGTACCTTTTAATCATTTTTCTTTAGTACAAAGTTATCTATAATTCAGATCAAGACTTGAATTGAAACTATTTCGAAATATGATTTATGTCGTGTTTTCATACAGTCACGGAAGCTTGTTCAACGATTAGGGAAAGAAAAAATTGTAGTGTCCAACAACGGCTCTCATGATTTTCCTTGAATACAAAGAACACTTGGAATAGAACTTAAAGCGTGGTAATAGTCCTAAATTTTTGGACAGCGAAGTTTCAAACAGAAATGCAGCGTTGGTTTACGTAGCAACGGTTTCCGTAAAATCCATCGAAAAAACGTGTTTAGCCTAAGGATCGTTCGAGATCGAGTAAAATTATTGTTACCGGAAATAGGAAGTGGTCAGTCGTGAATTTGGCACACACGAGTAGTTTGCGAAATGGCAGTGTCGTGGAATTTTTGGAACTCTTTGCCGTTGAACACGATACGCAGAAACGGTAGCTATACCGTTTATTTTTACTTTCGAAATCAGTCTGAGGGAATGCTTGAATTCGTTGCGGATCGCGCGGACTTTTTGGCCGGTGCCTTTCGCTCTCGAAACCGACGAGATCGATAGGGTTTTCAAACATTCTTGACAGGTTTGATATTATTTTATACTTGGAGATTCGTGTTTCGCCAAGAGAGAAGTACTTAAATATCATCCATGATTTTGAAGAGAGAAAAAACGAATGGAACGTAGTTTAAACGGTATCCAAAATGGCGTGTAATAAATTCTCTTCGCTTCAGTCGATTTTTTCCAAAGTGTATAAAAAGATGTATCTTATTTTGAAACGAAATTTGTAGATTTTCATGCTTCATTGATATAGTTACTTACTAGCCGAGTAGAAAAAGTGGAAACACGTAATATATTTTGTACGAAAGAATTTGTAAAATTGGGAGTGAAATATTGCTTACGAGGGAAGGATATTGTTCCTCAAAAGTATTCAGTCGAATCATTGATATTTTACTCTATTGGCATGTCTTGCATCGAAAAATTCAAGAAGGATCTTCAGATATTAATTGTTAATAACATCAGATGATTGCAGAAGGGTAAATGCTCGAGAATTACAATCTCGCGAGCCGAGATAACAGGTTCAACGATTCGATACTAAACTATTTGTATTAATACTGGTAAACAATTATTGATATCACGGAACGAACACTTGTATTGCGTTCAGAATCTATTCAGTTGGTTCTATGGATATTGATCGTGTATAGTTTCCCTCTCTTCTAGCACGCTATTGTTTCTCTTCTAAATTAGAAAATAGAGCGGAATGAGGAAAATAGTGAAGCAGAGCAGGAAAATTAATGATGTTATAGTGGGAAATGTTTTGTAAGCAGACAACTAAATATTACAATTAAATTTTGACTGATAACTAATGTCACGTAATTTTTGGTGTAAATCCAAATATTAAATTAATATTTAATTCTGGTTTATATAACATCAATTTATCTACATACTTCATGAGAATTATAAGTAGGCTACAGATTTACATTATTTGTACTACAGGTGGATTAAATTTAATGAAATGTAAGCCTATAAGATGCTTGATTAAAATAGAAGATCTATAAAATTTCTGATTCCTTTCAGTATATATTTTAAGAAACCAATTGTGAAATTATGCCAACAAAATTGTAAAGTTTAAACTGTTCAATCGTCCAAACCAATAACGTTATTCACACGTTTCTGTTTCTAAACTCTGTGACCCATAGAATGTCCATAATTATTCACAGATTAGCAAATAAAATTGAAAAATCAATCAGTCGATTCAAAAATCAATGGAAGAAAAATCAACAATTAACACTTTACCCACCGCAAGCCTATTAATCAGCTTTCCAATTACAAATGCTTAACAATGGATAATTTACTAAAATTACTCTGATTCAGCCTGATAAAGTGGAATTTAGTTTCAAGAATCTCTCGTTTTGAGTGCAATAAAATAAAAAAATGAAGTATGCACTCGTCAAATGCAGGACGAACGCGCCTAGAGTATACTTTAATGAAAAACCAAAACAAAACACAGAAAACTTACATGTTTATGTGAAAAAATAAAGAATTCACCGTTAAAGGAATTAGTATCACTTCGAGGTTTAAGATGACATATACTCGTCAAACGCAGTTAACCGGTTAAAACAAAAGAAATCAGAATTAATTGAAAAAGTACAAAATGATTTCAAAGTTACAAAAGTCTGCAAGTAAAAACATATACTCCTACGCCATAACGAAAGCCAATATAGTTAACTTAGTAAAGTGGTTGCCTCGATCAGTAGCGGTGAACGAAGTGTTAATAAATCAAAGACGAATCGAATCGTATGCCTGATCCACGTTCGAGATCCATGAGACAACTGCAGAGCGTCTCGAAGCTCGCTCGTGTTCGTTCGTGATCGAGCGTTTTAAGTGTAGAAATAGTTGGCGAGTCTTAAGTTAAAAGTGCGCGACATTCGAAGAAGGATGCCGGTTTTGAACGGTGAACCGGGTTAGACTAGCGTCTCGTCGGCATGGAAGAAATGTACAGAGCGGGGTGCGGGCGCGGTCGACAGGCCGCCCCGCGCGGAAATAATGTCTTTTTAGTCAGACGTCTTAGGATTAATAACGGACTTAAAGTAATCAACGATGTTTAGACGTACGTATAAACTTTACAATGCAACAGAGCCCAACCCCGTTCTCGACGTGTCGCGATTAACTCGTCACGGTAACCGTCGCCCGGCGAGGCTCGCGGCGAAATACTTCCTAACAGCTTGCGTGTACTCGGCCAAATCGGCACACGATTTCGTTACTCTCATTCCCGATTCTAATACCACGCACGCACGCACTGGACACAGGTGAGCACGGCCCGGTCTCTTGGCAACGCGACGCCGCCGATTACATCGGCGCAAATCATTTGACCGGCTCCTGAAGACGTGATCGAACGGAGAGTAAGAAAATCAGTCTTGCAAATTGAACGGACCGCTTCGTCTTCCTGCTGGCATCGTTCAAACGTGTTCAAAAATATGCGAAATCATTCGAAGTGAAACGATCGTGTTTCATTTGTACGTTCCGCGAAAGAAATTCAGGTGAATATAAGATACGGTTTCGTTGCGAACGAATTGATAAAGAAGATGGGAAAATTCTTTCGTTTTTAAATAAAGTGCTTGGAGATTTCTGTCTTACGTTAAAAGTACGATATTTATCCTTATTCGTAGAATGCTTCTTTGGGAATAGCTTATGTATAATAATTATGAGCTGTACGTTTACGATATAAAAAGCTTTTTAATTTGGAGCACGTGTTCATTGGAATTTGTTTATGTCTATTTGTGAATTGCATTTTACAGAGGTGATTCAAAGTCTGTTTTCGGTGGTATAGAAGGGAGCGAAATATATATGAAATGAAAACGAAGTAGAAATGTTTCAATTAAATTTGAAAATTTTAAGAAAAGATCGATAACCTTGTTTCGACAAAGATGTATGCCGAACATTATTATATGCAATCTTGACCGATTTTTGATTATCTAATGTTGCACCTATACTGGCACGCCAGACTGAAGATTATATTGCGAGAACGAAATGTTACTCAAGAACGAGGCGCTTAAAAGCTCCGTTGTGTCGTAACGAGTGATTAGTCGATGACACGGGATCCGATTGAAAGTGAACGTGGAACGCGGTTGCAAAAAATAACGACGGACTTGTCTAGAATCGAAGAAGGGATGGTGTGAGCCAGCGTGACTAAAATAAATGCTCTCGGTCTGCATCTAGCGGGGATACTCTACTAGCTTCGTGACAATTAGTTACGCAATGGTTAATTTCACTGTTCTCTTGGTAAAAGATTTCTCAATGATTCTTCGGATGAAAGTATAAAATCGTCTATCATTGCCGATAAAATCGGTTTACAGGTAATATGAAAACCGATCTTTATAAAAAATAAATGGTTAATGGAAAATTGATAAGAATTCCAATTTGAAGGTTGAGAAAAGATACGTGTTTCATTTTTGAAAGAAGATTTATGTCTCTTGTAACTTTGATCACAACTTATAACACGAATGTCACAAAAACTGATTTATTTATGAAGAAAACCAAACAGATTGAAATGTATGAGACACTTTGCACGTGTCAGAGTTGTATCATTATATCAATTAATAAAAGGAATAATTTGTCACTAGACAATTATTTCGAATGTCTACCATTGGTCAAATATTGGCACAATATGTTTATTCTGAAAGACGCTAAGATAGAATAAAAAACCAATTTTCGAATCCTCTAATAGAATAAACAGCTTCAACTGATGAACAAACGGAACCAAATTCCTTTCTTCAAGTTATTTCAGTTCTTCTCAGACCCAAGACACTAAAATGGTAGAGTTCAAACGATGCCAAAGCGAAGATCAAAGTGTACGTTCCATTATGGAAACAGCCTCGAATCGTAAACGGCGTCGCTGAACGCAGATTCCCGGGCGCTCGAAGGACTTTCCCGTGCTCTGTTCGTACGATTTAAGTCTTTGGTCTCGAATGGGTCGCCCGCCGGCGCACGAGTCGCAGCGGTCTGAGCAAATTGTCGTTTGGCACGCACTCCTGCACGCGATTCAACTCATTCAACCGATCATCGCCGATCATTCACTCACTCGCGTCGCACGCACGCACGCACGCTCGTAATATTCTCGTTGCGTCACAGGCAAAGAGGGGAAAAAAGATGACTGAGCGTCCAAGACCTAGGGGTTGGGTTAGATTAGGGGGTCACTTGCCAAATGAATACTTTCGACGGTGCAATCCGTGAACCGTTCCCTGTCTTCGCCTCGTTGCCTGCAAACGGACATCGTCGCGGTTTCGATTCCCAGCAACGAGCGCTATTTAATTTGTCACCTAATTATAATCGACAGAGAGAAGAAACTTGGGTGGAGGGGAGGGGGAACGGGCGCTTTTTCAATCGTAGCGCGCCCCTTCTTTGTCACGCGTTCTCACGCGCGTTCTCGACATTTTTCCTTTTTTCTCCTTCGTTAAATAGAATGCTAACCACGCCGAAAAAACGTTTCACGACGGGACACCGTGTAGAAGGATTCATTTTTTACCTAATTGTTTTGGACCACGGGGTGCGGATTGGTGGGTACTGGGGCGAGGAACACAGCGTTTGCCTACCGTGGACACACACGGGACGTGCCGGATGCACTCAGGGGAAGGAGGATGGTGAATTAAACGGCGATTGAGTAGTCGGAGGATGGGTTGTTCTGGGTGCTCGGCCTTGACCACAGAGAGCTCCTCAGGCCGAGCTTCAGTTTTTTCAAGGAATCGATGTCGCACTCGGCTTCGCTGAGCTCCGGCCGATCGGAACGATCGCCGTTCCCCGCCACTACGTTTCCCTGATTGCCTACGAACGTGGTCTCCGCGACCGATATCGGCGGTAATAGCGTGCGTAGCGAGCTCCTGCTGGGAACATGCCATCTGAGGGCAAAGCAAATTTAGTAAGATATCGAGTTCATCTGATATTAGTACATTCGCGATAGGCGAATTATTATTTTTCTAAGTCTAATACTCATTGCTGGTGAAAATGAAGACTTTAAGCTAATTGCTGCAAATTTTTTATGCTAAAACAGAAACAAAAATTCGGAAATTTGCTTTGGAATATTGGTTTTCCAATGATCTGTTGCTTGAAATGAAGAATTTGCCGTTAAGAAAGTTGCAAACTGAAAAGGGCAGAAGAATAAAGTATTTTGAACGTTGTTATATTTGAGAAGACGTGAATTCATGTTAGCAGTAGCGATTGTGTCAATAGATAATGGGGACGTCTGAGTATCCCTTATGAATATAGGTGAGGGATAAACAAAAAGCTGAAAGTCTTTGGAGTTTAAAGATTATTGAATGTGTTCATGTAAGAAATATTTATCAGTGAATTACCTAGATCGTCCTCTTCGAGGAAGTGACTTCTGTTCTGACATGGGTGAGATGTCCGATGAAGTGCTCGACGTACCGTGGTAAATGAAATCGGAAACGGCTCGAACTGTAAGAGACGTTATTAATAATGATTGGATAGATAGTTGGTTGAAAGACAGTCGAAGAATCGGTGAACTCTAGCAAGTGTTTGTGTAGTGAGAACAAATAAATGGTGGATGGTTTTGACAACTACAGTAATTGTAATCTTAATTGAAAGGTGATCAACGTGTTATTAATTAAACGAAATATGAAAAGACATTGTAGACATTCGAACATACTGTGTTTCAGTTTGCCAGCGTCCAACTGATTGGAAGACTCCGTGCGAGAGCTCGTCAGTTGATCCGGGTCAGATTCGCTCTCGTCGCTCTCGACGTCGCCTGGAGTCTGTTGCTTTCTCTGCTGCCGTCTCCTCGACGAAACGCTCTTCATGCTCTGCAAAATCACAATCATTTCGTTAAATTTTCGATAAAAGTATATGCCTATGAATATAATTCTTGACTTTCAAGCTGTATAACCCATTAATTAGTTATGATCATTCGGGATCATCATCACGAATCTCAATATCTTCATTTCTTTAAATTGTATTCCATAAAAAACTGAAACACTGCTAAGTTGCTTCTCTTGCAGATAAAAGATTAATAATCATATTCGAAAGTTTCATTATAATTATTTTATATTCGAATTAATTATATTTCTTAACTCTTATATTAATTCTTATTAATTATATTTCTTAATTCTTATATAAATTCTTATTAATTATATCCCTTAACCCTCCGTCGGCAATATGGTTTCCCACGAACATAGCCATCATGTATCGGCCTGTCATTGGCAGACTTGATTCATTACTACAAGTTCTGTACAAATCTAGAAACATTCTGAATTACTTTCTATAGTCTCTAATTTAATATACAAACAACACTTTAGCTAAATTTCCATTTAATTTTGCAATAGAACTTAAAAATTGCGGTGAAGTTATGAAGAAATAAGATTTTGCTTAAAGGTGCAGAACTTTGTAATAAGCGAATATCAAAAAAAGGCATTGCAGGGTTTTACTCATAAGGTTATGACCTACCGAAAAAATAGATATACCAGCATTGAAAAAGGTATACTTATTTTGAGACTTCAATTTACGAAGCGTATCGTACGTCTTCCGGTGGCATGCTAGGCATTGAATCAAGTTGTCTATTAAATATTGTTACAAGATTCGACTGTGTAACGTCGCGAAGATTAGATTAAACCTTTTGCATACCTTCGGCCAAGAACATTACTCATTTTCGGAAAAATATAAAGAGATTTGTCAGCACTTAAAAAAGGTATAATTATTTTGAGGTTTCAATTTACGAGATTTTCGAGTGGGTCGTCCTATTGTCGGTGGAGGGTTCGCAATTCTTTTGTAATCAATGGTAACCCACCGTCGCGGCAGGCGGAGGACTTGCGCACCCTTCGGTCATGGCGTGCTCGTGATACATGAAACTGTGCAGAAGAGTGTTGTTCGGGTGGAGACCGGCTGCTGAAGCTTCCGCCGCGCCTCCCAGTCCTCCCAGCCCTCCCAACCCTGCCAGGCTTCCCCCGCCACCCTCCGAAAGCTGGAACGTAGCGTACGGAGAGATGTCCTCCGCTGTCTCTGTAACCCATCACAGGCATTGCCTACCTTTCAAATCGCGTCAGGATGACTTTTGTAGGTGAAAATGGAATTTTTTTTTCAAATTCTCGTTTGAGATTTTACTGTCTTATTCCAACGCTTTTAGGCAAGTTACTTGGACTGTTCATTGCAAGAGATATTGGGATTTGCGTGAGGAATCCTTTCGCTGAAATTTCATCTATATAATTTATAGGATTGTGATACTTTTTGTGAATGATAAAGTGTAACGAAATTATCTGCCATTTTATACCCAAATTGTGTTAAGCTTTGGTTGAGTCGGTAAGTTAATGTGTTAACGTAAATCTATGAACATAACCAGATCTAATTGCAAAAATACTTCTGGAAGAAAAAGATTCGTCTGCAAATCTGGTACTAGAAATTTTGGGAAAGCTATCAAATATCTAGCAATTAGTCTCTAATTTTTGATATCTTAGAAATGTTTAATTCAGTTGAAAACGGAATTCTAAGATTATAGGGTAAAACTGCCTAATTAAAATGGATCGAAAGACCTTCTCTTCAAAGCGTAAATAATCGCTTTACTCTTTACTTTAATTTACTCTTTATTCTATTTCGAACAAGGTTCATTGCACAATCCATGTTAATTCGGAATTTCATTTACTTACTTCGTCAAGTACAATGTACTAAGAATCAGATGGTCATGGATGATTCAAGCGATGCATGAGGAAACGTTCAACGAAACTCGATGGAGCGAATGTGTGAGAGATCTATCACGAAGGAAACGTAAAGCCTTTATAATTCATTCTCAGAAGATATCCGCAGAGTTTTCGTTTCCGAAGCAAGGAAACTGAAGGGAAAACGAATATACACGGGTAAATCCAAAGAATGAATCGTTAGACTTCAAGAATCTCATGAGAAAGTATTCTAACCGTATGATCAATACATTCAAAGATGGTCGTACAAGAAAGCTCAAAGAAAAAGTATGATGATTCCCGTCTACTATGATGTCACGGGATGAGGATGTAAGAAAATAAACCATCCCTCGTGAACAGCAATCGAAACCGCTAATGGGTCTGTCCAGACCCATTCGAACAGCGCTAAGCGTGCGACTTTTTACCTGAACAACAATTATAGTACCAAACCTGGCTGTCGTCCGTATCGTAACAAAGGTTCACCTGGAATCTTGTCGGGCCCTCCACCCGTATTCGCTTGTTGCAACGCCACTTTGTGTATGGTGGCATAGTAACGTTCCCTTTGAGTCTCCGCATTCTGTTGGTTTTCCTGGGACTCTTTCATCGGCCGTTGCACTCTGTCTCCGAGGTACCCTACGATATTCAGAACGACATGGATTTTCACAGGACTTTTATGCCATGAAACTGCTGACTCGGAACCTGAAATCGATATCCACTTACTGCTTCGCCAGCGGATGGCAACGATCACCATAGCGATCAGGAGAGCGATGGTGGTCACGATCAGAGGCAGCATCACCTTCACGTCCGCGTAGAACGGCACGGCGGACGCGATACCGCGTTTCGAGAGTTCTGGGGATGGCGGTTCTGCAATGTTTCAGGAACACAGTGCTTTTGGACAGGATTCGTTTATTTTAGTATCTTATAATCACTGACTGGATCATTTCCAGTTCTCCCTTCCCTATATGTACTATATTCATTGAAACTCAACCCTTTGAGTCTCGGACACATTTATTTTCGTCAGGAAAATTCTGTTTATTAAGTATTGAATTTATGTGTATGATTATTAAAATGATCTTTTTCAAATATAGAAAAATTTAGGAAATATGGAAAATGTGAGAAATATGAAAAACATGGAAAATATAGAAAATGTAGGAAATGTAGAATAACTTAATCAATAATAAAAAAATTGCAGAAAGATCACAGTGTGTTGTCTTGAAACAACGGTCAAACATGTACACAAAATTGTAAAACCCTTAATCGATGACAACCTAGCAATTTGTTATTTTGAAAACTGTCTAAACTCGATCATTCTGAATGGGAATACCGGCTAGAATGAAAACTGCGTGTATTTGTTCAAACTTACCACCTTCTTTCGTTAACGTTACGAAAGTGAACTCCGCCTGATTGCTACCGGCCACGTTGTGAGCTTCCACTTTCAGCTGATAGACCGAGCTTGGTTGAAGATTGGTCACAACGAAGCGTCGCTGCATTTTGACGCTGTTCGACACCAGCGTCCAGTGGAACTCGTTGATAGGTTTGTACTGGATCACGAAGTAGAGAATGGGGCAGCCATTGTCGGGCCACACGTGAAGGCGCAGGACCAGCGTCGTAGAATTTGGACTGAGAAAGGAAGCAGCGGATGGTATACCTGGCGCTTGTCCCTGAGTCCGTACCGAGAGGGCAGGGGATGACGGACTGCTGCCAATTTTGTTGTGTGATGTTAGGTACAACTGGTAGGTGTTCCCGCATAAGAGTCCCTGAAGATGGACGAAATATTTGCAAGTTAAACAGTGAAACTATCAAGCTGTCCAAACGACTCTTTTATATACATATTTTTATATAAGAATTACGAAAGTTCTTTCATTGAGATTTTGATTGATTTATATTTGACAATAAACATTAGCAAAATAATCTGTTCAATGATTTAAAAAAAAAATAAATTTAGAAGCACACAAAGGTATCAAAGTATGGTAACGTTTTTGGATAGAACATTTACCACATCCTTCAAGTATTTTTCATTCAGATTATTCTTAATTTTTGTAGGAATGTTAATGAAGGATTTCATTCTAGAAAAGTAATTTTTGCTTATAATAATTTTCTTCTAGTTTTTAAGTAGGTAATTTTACCTTAAGTTCATGGCTTGTGGAGTGTCGAGATAATTGCAGTTCTTCCAGGTTACCATGAGTCGTTCGATAATGCAACGTGTACCCTGTCAACGGAGCACCACCACTGTGCCCGGCTTTCCAATGTAATAAAATGCTGCTCGACGTAGAGCTGGTCACATAAAGTACAGGTGCGCTTGGGGGTACTGCAAATAAGCAAACAAATATTTACAATATTCAATTATTTATGAAGAAAGACTTCGAAGCGTTCACAAAAAATATTTACAGCATTCAAATAAAAAATAAATTAAATAATACTTGTGAAGATAAGCAGAAATGATAAAAATCATCTCAATTATGATATTCTGTTAAAGTAACTGAAACACTAAACGTCGACTTACAATTTATATTTAACACTAAAACTACCAGACGGGTCAAACTGACCCATTTTAGAATTTTTAGTTTGTACGTATTCAAATTATGATAAGGCTTTTGCGAAAAATTGTAAAATAAAGTGCATTTGTACAGATACAACAGTAAGGGACTCACCAAATCTCGAGAAATATATTGTTCCAATTTGTATGAAAACTTAGAAATAAGTCACTCCAATTGTTCGGTAATTTTAGAGTTAAAAAACAATTAAATGTAGTAATTAGAATTAAGTACTGGGCTATTTTGTTACTCACCTTGCACAGTCAACGTATAGTGCAGCTTGTCGCTGCCTTGTGTGTTCTTCACCTGACAAGTATAGTTGCCGCCATCTTGAGATTGCAAGTTCGAGAGTACAAGTTCGCCAGATGGTAAAATTTGTATATTTCTAGTAGTGTCTGTACGGATTTGTTCTGCAGATCCTTTAAACCATTCTCGAGTAGGATCTCCGACCGCGTTGCAAGCTAGGGTGGCGGATCCTCTCCATGGTCTGACTACATGGCCCCCAAAAGAAGTAATCCTAGCTGGTACCCGATTCGTTGGTACCTGTGCAGCTACTCTGGAACTTTGCCCCTCGCCAACTCGGGTGCTAGCTGTCACCCAAAATTGATACTCTACGTGTTGTTGAAAATCAGTCGCCTCGAAGTAGGTACTCGTAGCTGGCAGTTGTCTTTTACCGTGATTTAGTTCCTCTCGGCCGTCTACGACTCTGTCGGAATATTATTTCAGTGATAAATAATTCAATATTACAAAATTATAATTTGATCGAATTGTCAACAACAAAAAAATATGCTGGAAAGTATTATATTATATTAATTAATTGTTATAGTGAATTTTAAGTATTCTTGTTGCTTCCCTCGACTTTTATATAATAAATTATAATTTTCATTATTTTTATTATTGCTACCTTGTGTATAGATTATATTTTGTAATATGTCCGTTCGGTTCAAGGGGTGGGAGCCAAGAGATGAAGAGCGCTTGCGGTGAACTAACCACCACTTTTATATCTGCTGGACTACCTGGTACTATAATTAGAAATAAACTCCATTAAAATAAATTTTACACTGTAATCGTATCGAACGTATTTCAAAAATTTCTTCAGAAGTTAATTACCATCTTCTTCGGTTTGGCAATAAGTAACGGTGGTTGGTACTCCATCGCCAACTTTGGTGAAAGCTAGCACTTGTATAGTGTAATTCGTGAATTTTCTTAACCCCGTGAGTACAGTGGTCAAAGCACTTGTCTTTCGTACCTAAGGAAAAATTGACGATCAATGAATCTTTGAATATAGTAATAAAATGTTTTCTAAGTGAGTATACATCAATTTTACTAGTTATTAATAATAACTTAAAATATTCTGAATTGGATATAAAAATAAAGACAACTCTTTTGAACAAAATTGTGCCGATATGCACACAGCATTAAGAAATACAATGCTATGTATTACATGTGTACAATAAACCAATGAATTAAATAAAAAAAACAGCAAAAGATACACTATTTTAAATCATTTCTAATATATGGACGCTATCGGTCTTTCACGTTATTTCTCATTACAGTTCTTCAAGGGTTAATTACAGAAAGAACCCAATTTCCACTAACTTCCATTTCGTCGACGCTGCGCCACACGTCCGCCAAAATTGGTTCGTAATGCAACTTGTACCCTTGAATGATGCCATTGCTATGTGTGTTAGGTGGCGGTTGCCATGACACTTGAAGGGATTGGGAAGTTAGCGCGGCGCATCGGACATCTTCTGGTGGCATGCTAGGTACTGAATCAAGTTGTCTTTATTAAACATTGTTACAAGATTCGACTATGTGACGTTGCGAAGATGAAATTAGACTTTTTGCATTTCTTCGACCAGGAACATTACTCACCATCTTCCAAAGTTTGCGTGAGCAAAGGTTCAGAAAGTGGTCCAGACCCAACTTGATTATACGCCTGAACTACCAAAGTGTACTTTGTGTAGGGTCGAAGTCCTGTTAGCCGAAGTTCGGCACCCCCCTCTTCTCCGTCGCCGGATACAGAACTGAAGTTGTACGAGGGATTTGAAGAGCTGAAATAAGATTCTGAACGTAATGGAGTTCCGGATTGAGCCAGTCAAATAAACGTATTTCCCTCTATCTTGCACGGTGCAATGTTATCACATAAATGGCATAATATATTTTCATATCATTAAAAAGTAAATTGATTAATAACTGAATACTCGTAAATACATTCCCCTATAATTAACCCTTTGCAGACGAAGATCCTTTGAAATATACAAAACCTCCAACAGATGAAGTCTATGTAGCGACTGTATAAATAATACAACAAGAGGAAACTAAGCACCGATCTCTTGCTGTTTGAGTAATTAATTCATTTGTTTGCGACTTAGAATTCCAAACATAAATATTTGATCTCTCCGAAATGTTGACATTCGTCCGCAAAGGGTTAAAGCTGATATGAAGTCTCTTAGGTCTCATTCTAAACTGTGCATTAATTATTTTTGGATGAAGCGATCTGTAATAAAACACTTCCAATCTATTTATTAATTTGGATAACGCATTTAGTTTCAAAAATTCGTTGAGTTTGAAATGTACGAAATCGAATAAAAACTAATGTGGTGTAAAGTAGTTCAAAGTTTGTTGTTAGTACAGCTTTGAAGTAGTTATTAAAGGAGATTTATTAAAGGGCTTAGCGAACTCACCTTGTTTCCCTATAGCCAACGTTAAATCCCTGGATATCACCGTGTCGGAGTTCAGGTAACGGCGGCGACCAGGAGATTAAGATTTCGGAGGAGGATAGAGCTCTCGCCGCAAGTTTAATTGGTGGACCGGCCGGTCTTTCTGGCTCTGTTCTAACGATTAGCTCTGCGGACGGTACCGACCTACCCGCCGGCCCTTCGGCTATTACACGAACAGTATACCTAGTCGCCGGCTTTAATTCGTCTATGAGGGCAGCGTACGGAAGTGGTGGTCCGGTGAATTCTTTTTGTTGCCACATACCACCTGTTCAGATTAATTCATTGTAAGAATATAAATTTTAAACAACAGTGCCTGTACACGTTATTATTATATTATATCATACCGTTACGTTACGTTATATATACTGTATAATGCACACATTGCAAAAACATTGCTCCTTCGTTTACATTTGTATACATTCAGAATTCGTATGCAGTTCGTGGATGTTTGTGTAAATTGATATTACTAAACAGTGACAACAGTAACCCGAGAATTGTTGTTTTAATGGGAGTTATACAATGTATATGTGGAATGCAATGAAGTATGCAAGAAACAATTTGTATTTGGTGGAAAATTATGTCGAGGAAATGCAAACGATTCTAATGTTTTCGAATTTCTTTGCTTTAAAGTTGTAGCAACTAAACTTCGTTTTGTTTATATTAATTTGTTATAAACGCCTAGAATATCTTTACTGTGTATTTCAAATAAAGTATTACTGTTGTAAGGAATAAGTATTTAGTCGAAAGTGTAATGGGCTGCATAAGGAAATAAGAGATACAGGTATTTGGCAATAGATGATACTTTTACGAATGAGAAGTAGTATAATAATGTTTACCAATGCCTTCTTTATATTCGAGGATGTATTTTGTCACTTCGCCAGTGTCTTGGGACTTGTGTTGCCATTTTACATTAATACTACGACTGGCAACCATTGCGGTTTCTAACGAATTTGGCGGGTGCGGTGGTTCTAAAATTCAAACAGAACAATGGTGTTCCAAATACGTAAATCACAACGAATCACTTAAATAACAATGCTACCTTGTACGAGGAGTTGCACCAATTGTTGTTCACGACCGTAAAGGTTACTCGCTTGGCAGAAATACGCACCGCTGTCAGACGCTTCTGCATTGGATATTTGTAATTGGGCTATTACACCATCGGGCGTTTCCTCTCGCTTGACAGTAACCCTTTAAGTACAATATTGGTTTCGTGAAAAATGTTGGCATTTCAATGACAGCAAAAGTTAGCATTCATCTTTAAAATGCATAAAATTTGTTTAAGGTACTATTCTTTTCGTTATTAAATAAAAAATTAATTCTTTGTTAGTTCATTAAAAAATTTCCTTTTCTTCTTTCGTACACAAAGAATATAATTCCATCGTTCTCCATTCTAAAGTGATTAAAATGTGCAATGAAACCCCTTTGACGTTTATTTAACTCCTCAAGAATTTATGAAATTTTATCCTTTCATCGTTAGACGGTTTAATAGATTATAACTTTCGAAGTATGAGCGTTCCATGTAATAACTTGCTAGGCAATTAGCTTTACCGATAGTTTGTCGAGGGGTTTAATTCAATTTTTCCTCCCTTTAACCAAGTGACGGTAACTGGTGTGTCGCCGTGCACCTCGCAATGCAACGTCGCGGTGTCGCCCTTTTTCACGGTGACGAGCCTCGAAGGTGCCGCAAAATATGGAGATGCTATTAACATAATAAGAAAGATATGAATGCCATCTTATAGAAAAAAAATATGTACTAAAGTAAAATTATATCTATTATATCTAATTATATCTATAATTATATTAACTACCATTAAGCTTGATGATTAGTGTAAATAATTTTGATTACAATTATTCCTTTAAATATTTTCAATCAATTCTGATCATTTGCGACAGAAGATATGATTTAATCTTCAAAGATAATTCGATTCAAAGATAATTAAAGAACTCACAGTTCACTTTCAATTGGACCACTTTTCCAATGCCACTTCCGATACCGTTGCTAGCTTGACAGAGATAGAATCCTTCTCTGTCTTCTTTCACGTGTTGCAGAAGCAGGGAACCATTGCTGAGGATTTTCGTGTAATCTCTTTCTCGCAACTCCTCGTATTCACCGGACTTGCTTCCTGCTTCGAAAAAATTTCGTTTCGATCTATGAATTAAACTAACGATTTTCTTCTATTTTTTATTGATTATATATTTAAAAAATTTTTTTAATAATTTAAAATATTTCAATTTTATGCTTTTTAAAGTATCATCGCAATCAACTATAGAATCTTGTTTAATTTTTTATATCCACCAACGAGAAGCAAGAAAAATCTAGAACTTATACCTCTTACTTACTTACTTAAAACATAGATACTTAGAACTCATACCTCTAACAAAATAATCCTCTTTCTAGACTCGATAAAAATAGTGTTAAACTTAACTTCAGAATCTCAGGACATTTAATCTATATAAAATTATTTTATCCGCATATGACTCTCTTGATTTCATGCAAACCGTACCCAAAAATCATTGTCTGTATGTCGCTAAAGTCCTTAAACTTTTTCTTTTCTTTATTTGAACACTAGGTTTACGGAATGCGTCAATTTGACGTATATTGAATTTTATAAACATTATTTCCTAAATGTTTAAGTTGACTCTAATTGATACAATGACACCAGTATGTATCTCCATTATCTATTTTTAAACATCGAACTTTCAAAATTCGAACGATCCAACATGAATTTTTCTAGGATTAATATAACAAACCGTACAAAAAATAACCGTAAATGTAGTGTTAAGAAATTGGCAAATCTTGAAATTAACCTGTTAACTATGGAATTCAGTTTCAAAAGTCTCTCGTTTTGCGCGCAATAAAATTAAGAAATGAAGTACGTACTAGTCAAAGAGAGGACTAAGAATTTTAGGTACAAGTAATTTTAGAAAAATTACATATTTATCCAAAAAAATAAAGAATTCATCGTTGAAAGAATTGATATCATTTCAAGCTTTAAATTGATATGTATACTCGTCAAATGCAGTTAACTGCTTAAAGCGCGAGATAAAATTTTGTCGTGTATGAACTAAATTTGTAGGTTGCGTATAGAAGATCATCAAAAATGTACTATTTAAGTATAGGTTTAGTTAAAAATGGTAACCCTAATCCAAGAATTTAGTGTTAATTCACTGGCGAACCAGTTTGTGAAAAAGGCTCTTGCTAGCCGCGGAGGAATGAAAAATTCTTACCCGTGGCTTTTTTCCAAACGATAGTGGGAGTGGGCACGCCCTGCGCTTGGCAGTGCAAGGCGACGTGCTTGTTCCTCTCGACGCTGACGTCCGTCGGCTCGACGATCCATCGCGGCGGCACTGAAAACCAGAGCGACTAGCTTTAGGCGAGTCCGTCGCGGGCCTCCTATCCAAATTATCTTTTTTCTTTCTTTTTTTTCGTCGTTTTTCTCTTTTCTTTTACTGGTCGTTAGCGATTTAGAGACAGGTACGTCGTGACAAAGTCGTGAAAAGCGCGGTCAAAGAAGAGCTCGTCGACGGTGTGGCGCGATGTCGCCGGAAGTGGAAGCGCCGAGATCGTATATATATACAACGATGATACACTGTACAAAGAGAGATAGAGAGAAAGAGAGAAAGAGAGAGAAATAGAAAAAGAGAGAAAGTGTGATATACAAAAAGTATAAAAAAAGAAAATTCGACGGACGTGGCCCTTTCGTCGACGAGGTTCTGTCGTTCTTGAATATACAACACGATTTATCCGGAATCGTTATGATCGCCATTCGAACACGCG